ATCTGAAAGTCAAAGACGGCTTTTCCCGCGTCACTTTAACTGAAAGGGGCTCTCCCAAACTTTCAATAGCCAAACTTCTTGGTAAATTAGAACTTGGAAAAGGAAAAACCAGGACAAAGGAAAATCAAATAAATTTTTTGTTCTCAGTTCTGATTTGCGTTGTAAACTCTGCTGTTCAACTAACAACAACCCAACCAATTCAGACAATTTCGTTCCAACTTCAAAAGAAAAATTGTATTTTTCTTTAGCCTACTGTTACATATGAACTATACTTTCAATGCCTGTAGACCAAACGAAAGACTCTTTACCCTAGGTTTCGGTCCCTTTTCTACCACATTTCTATGAGCTTGTTCCAATGGAGAACTATTTTTTGTACATTTGTTCTGGATAGCTGGGTGCTAACTTCACTCTTTGTATAAGGATTAACCAGTTACCCTTCATTGTGATGACTGGCTATGGTTTACGATGCTTAGTGGCAAAAACATCGCTAAAATAGAGAAACGGGTGTGACAGCTATCAGTGGTGAAAATGAGTTGGGAACTAGCATTCCTAAATTCCTCTTGTCTATCACAGCAGTTCAATTTAAATAGGACAAAATTTTCTCATGCTGCTAACTAACTGCTTGTTCAGTGTCAAGGAGCCTCATTTAAGTTTATTTCTGTTCTTATGAGAAGTTATATCATTCAGTCAAATAAACCCAGAACTTACCACCGCCCAACTTAAGCAAAATATCTGTTTTGAAGGACGCAAACGGGTCATGAGATCAGGCTTTCAAGTCCAAATCTTCAGTTGTTGTTTTATTTTACCGGTGTTATTGGGTTACTCTCTGTATTGACTGTATCAGTGAAATTCATCGACCAAATGTTTTGCATGTTCCGGCTGTAGTCAAGTCATTTCGCGATTTGGATGAATGCACGCATTGTGGAACAATCCATTGAATGGAACTCACCACTCTACATCAACTTCATCGACTACGAGAAAACATTCGATAGAATGGACAGAAAAACACTGTGGAGGCTTCTTCGACACTATGGCGTGCCTGAGAAAATATTTAACACCATACGGAATTCTTATGATGGATTCAACTGCAAAATCGTACACGGAGGACAGCTAACAGACTCGTTCGAGGTGAAGACCGGTGTCAGGCAAGGTTGCTTACTCTCACCCTTTCTCTTTCTCCTGGTCATCGACTGGATAATGAAGACGTCGACAGCATGGACGATCTGGACTTCGCAGATGACCTGGCTCTTCTATCGCACACGCAACAACAAATGCAAGAGAAGACGACCAGTGTAGCAGCAGCAGCCTAATCAACAGTAGGACTCAACATACATAAAGGAAAAAGCAAGATTCTCCGATACAACACAACATGCACCAACCAAATCACTCTTCATGGAGGTGCAATGGAGGACGTTAACACCTTTACATATCTGAGCAGCATCATCGACAATCAAGGTGGATCCGATGCAGATGTGAGGGCGCGGATTGGCAAAGCAAGGGCTGCATTTCTACAGTTGAAAAATATCTGGAACTCCAAACAACTTTCAACCAAAATCAAAATCAGGATTTTCAATACAAATGTCAAGACAGTTCTAGCATATGGAGCGGAAATTTGCAGAACTACAAAAGGCATCATCCAGAAGATACAAGCGTTTATTAACAGCTGTCTACGAAAAATAATTCGACCAGACACTATTAGCAACAACGTTCTGTGGGAGTGACACAAACCAGATTCCAGTGGAGGAGGAAATCAGGAAGAAGCGGTGGAAGTGGATAGGACACACACTACGAAAAGCACCTAACTGCGTCACGAGACAAGCCCTTACATGGAACCCTCAAGGCAAAAGTAGAAGAGGACGTCCAAGTAACATACTTAGCCGAGAAATAGAGAAAGATATGAGAGGAATGAACAAACATTGGACAGAATTGGAGAGGGAAGCCCAGAACAGACAGAGTTGGTTGGAGAATATTAGTCGGCAGCCTATGCTCCATCGGGGGTGACAGGCGTAAGTAAAGTAAGTGAGTAAGTATGTTTAGAATACCACTTTAGGCATAAGCGAGGCCCCATCCGGAACAGAAAAACACTAGCAATGATTCAAATGTGGGATGGATATGCTTCAAACGATTCAACAGACAGGAATGGACGGCTTTAGTAAAGTTTATGTCTCAGAGCTGGTTCAAGCTACTTTAACAAACTAAAAAGCTGACATCAACCTCAAAGTTAGTTTGAGCGACTAATCCACTGGATCTTTGTTATTGCAGACCATCGAAATAGATATGCTAGAACAATATTACCTTTTTACCCTCCAAAGTATACAGAGGCTGGCAACCGATCGTACTACCGACCACTACTTGATGAGTACTCCAAACTCTACAATTAACAACTGAAACTGACATCTGTAAACAGCACTGTTACAAATAGCATCACGATTACAAGACCACTTGTATTCTAGGAATCACATGCAGTAGCTCCTAATAATAATAATATTATTTTTTTTTATTCCTAAATAAAAACATGTTGCAAGAGGCATGCAGATTTACAAGCAAGATCAGAATGTTAAAATTGTCAAAGTATTTTCTTTGAAAGGTGGTTCTGTCACGTACATTTTTCACGAGACACATCGGCTTCTCTTAGATAGTTAGAATTTTCACAGAAACCTACACGAGTTACGTCTTTCGAGTTGGCAGAAAACATAATCAGTCACGTGCTGGGATTAGAAATAATCCAGGCATCCAACAGTTCATGAGCTGTCATTTTTAGAACCAACTCATTTCATGCACAGGCCTATATCTTCACGGTTCAGGTCGATATGCCTAAAACTCTCCAAGTATTTCGTGAACGACCTATTTTACAAGTATTCACTTCCGAACTAATATGCTGATGACAGCCTGATGCCATGTGCGGACAAGGGACTCCGCACCAGGCCACTGAAATTTGCTTTCCAAGTACTCAAAAAAACAGTACTGTGACATTCAGAAATGCCAAACCGAAATCTACGACACTGCAGTTTCAGGAAATCCACTGAATCCTAGGGTACCTGCTCTCTGCAGGATGAATTGACGGCCATCCTAGACTACTCAGAACAGACCACACTCAAACAACTGCGTGTAACCGACGGCATTGTGAGTTGACATTAACGTTTCATACCAAATCGTTAGCCTCCCTTGGGACTGTTAGAAGGTCAGATTCATGAGAATGTGAGAACTATCGAACTAGATGATAATGTGGAGGAAGCATTTAACCCAGTGGGCGAAAGTAGTACCGAGACACTTATGGCCTATCAATGAGATACCCAAGTACCAATCAGTATGATATCCGACTCTGCAAAGCGGTATGCAGAAAATTGCAGTTATTACTACTCGTTTCTAGACGGTCGTAGTTTGCCTCAGATGTATAG